TGCCTTCTCAGCTCAGTCCTGCCTCTGTAGGTGGAATGGATCATCTCCTGGGAAGGATGATAAGCGTAATCTCCAGTTGGACTGCCAATTCTCCAGTAAATTTGAGTCATTACTGGATCTACATCTGCAGAGTGTTTGTATGAGCAACCAAGGGTGGTTGAACTATTCAGTTGGGCTGTGATTTCAGGAGGCTGAACTACAGTAAAGTATATAGAAGACGGTACTGAAAAGATAGAAACAGATCTTTTAAAAAAACATCTACTAAATGCTATTGAAAGACAAGCTTTATTTAAAAAAAAACAGCATATTCATACGTATAACACATATTACAAAGTTGTCAAGTTGGTAAAGTAGCGCAGGTAGAGGGCTTTATCTGGTACTTGTTTAGAAGGAAGGGTTTGTTCAATAAATAGTCAAGCTTTTAAGAATATAAAATTTTATTTAAACTCTTTAAGAGAAATCAAGCTTGAAACTCTGAGAATCTACATTTGGAGTTTTCATCAATGCGGCAGAAAGAAAAATCTGCTTTTTCAGCCTACATTTTTCAAAATTTAAAAAAAGGGGGGGGAAGAGTCAGCGCTAGATAACAAACTGAAGGGCAGCAACCCAAAAAGGGAATCCCTCAAAACCCTTATTAAAACAAGATAAAAGATGCGAAGGTTCTTGTACCACTATTTAGATCATTTGGTCTGTTTTTTTATTGTTGTATATTATTGTTATTAGCCCTGGGAGCAGCACTTACTTCCTTCACATTTTTCAAATTTAGTCTTGAAACTTTAGATAATTTCATATTATACTGGCCTTAATTTTAAAAGAATCTATTCAAAAGTAACCCCAAACAGTACATATACTATTAACAAAATAAAGAGTGTAACTCTCAGGTCTTAAAAAATCCTAGAGCATGCTGCCAAAAAACACTGACATAAAGATGCACATATCTGAATTGTTACCTTCAAGAACCAGCTCTGTTCCACGAACACTTCCATACAGGGACCCATCCACTGTCACTTCACAACAGTATCGACGGCCGTTTATAGGACTCACATTTGTGATAATTAATGAGACATCCTCAGGGAAATTAACCAGTGAGAAGCGTCCTTGCTTGTTTGAGTAATCCCATGTGAATATTGTCTGTTTCTCACGGCACACTTCACTTGCTCCCATTTTCCAGGTCACTTTCTGCACAGTAACCTTTCTTCCATGTGTGTAATGGATGGGACAGGGAATGGTGACAGTTTCTCCTGGCAGAGCTGGAATTACGTCCAACTGATTCACCCAGATCTGATCTGCATTGATAGTAAAGAGCTGTTATTGGAATTACTGGACAGAGAGTGATTGTTTGGAGACTACTCATAAATGACCCTTTTACGGAAACCTCTACATCAAGCATGTCAAACTTGCAGCCGATGGGTCGCATGTGGCCCAAAATGAATATATTTGCAGGCCCACCTGGGGCTACTTTGTGATGTGGGAAGATTCTTGTCTTTCCTCCCACGGCTGATCGCATGCCCCCACAGCCGCAAGTATGCAGAGTGTCTGTCTGTCTGCAGAGCAGGCCAGCCACTACACCTCCCTCCTGCTCTCAGTGCCAGAGGAGCATCTGGACTGCTTGAGCAGAGAAGAGCATGGCTGGAATTGGAGGAAGAGGGGCTTAGGAGACCTTGTATAGTGTGTTAAATGGAGGAGGGGGCAGTGTATTAATTTGAGGGAGGGGGCCAGTGTATTAAATTGTGGAGGGGGGAGTGTATTAAATTGGGGGCGGGAGTGGAGAGTGTATTAATTTGGGGGAGGGAGTGGGCAGTGTATTAATTTGGGGGAGGGAGTGGGGCAGTGTATTTGAGTGGTGGGAAGGTGGGCAGTGTGTTAAATTGGGAGGGAGTGGGGCAGTGTATTAGAGGTGTGGAGGGAGTGTTTTAGAGTGGTATTTGGGATTTGGAAGAGGGAGGTGGTAGTGTATTAAATTGGGGGAGTGAGTGGAGAGTGTATTAATTTGGGGGAGGGAGTGGGGCAGTGTATTTGAGTGGTGGGAAGGTGGGCAGTGTGTTAAATTGGGAGGGAGTGGGGCAGTGTATTAGAGGTGTGGGAGGGAGTGTTTTAGAGTGGTATTTGGGATTTGGAAGAGGGAGGTGGTAGTGTATTAAATTGGGGGAGTGAGTGGGGCAGTGTATTAGAGTGGTGGGAGGGGGCAGTGTGTTAAATTGGGGGAGGACAATGTATTAATTTGGGGGAGGGAGTGGGGCAGTGTATTAAAATGGGGTAGTGAGTTGGACAGTGTATTAGAGTGGTGGGAGGGGGAGGCAGTGTATTGGATTTGTGGGCAGTGTATTAGAATGGGGGGATTGGACAATGTATTAGACTGGATCTGCATGGAGGTGCTGAATGCTCCCCATGGAGATTCTGATTGGCTGCACATATTTTTGCCACACATGCACAAGAGCCTCTGAATGATTTCCTATAGGACCATGGTGAGGGCTCTCAAATAAATACTAAATAGAGCAAATTTATTTCCCCCTACTTCTCAACCATGGTCAGTCTGTGTGGGCTAACATTATAATCTACCAGGAAGACCTAATGCCACCTCCCACACCCATAGGCAGTAGGTGAGGGCTATTACATTAACAATAACCCTGAGGAGACCAAAAAGCCTCCATCCTATAGGTGGCAGGTGGGGCCATTTATATTACAATACACTGCTCACCGTTTATTAGATATGTCCCTACCAATGATATTTAAGAGGTTTTATTTTAAACAGGTGACCCATTTTTCATGTTTGGCTTCTGAAATTCTGGCTGCCTCCAGTGAGAATTAGGAATAGAAAAAGAAGAAAAAATATTCCAAAATTTTCAGTTGTAAGAATTCAATTGAAGCCTTTATGGTAATATCGATTATGTTTTGAATGGTTTCAGGAAATTACCCTTGGAAGATAGGATTGAATATTAATTTTTTTTTTATATTTGGCAAAGTCAGACCTCCCCACAGCTTTGGAAGGGTCAGCTCAGAATATGCTATTTCCTGGCTAATCATGGCAGCTTATACACATGGGTTAGCTCCTCCCCTACAGCCGATAGGACAGGAAAACCACCAAGGTTTTAAAAGGAGGCTCCATCCCTAAGGTCCTCAGTCTTTTTCCTGTCCTACAGCCCTGAGCAATTTGCTCCCTTTACTTACGGACATGTATGTTGTTTTATCTTCATTACTTTATTTGCCTGTTTTACTGTAGTACATTATGCAATTGTGCTTTTATGCTGTGTGGCATTTAAGCTGTGTGGCATTTAAGCTGTGTGGCATTTAAAACCGTTTCATTTAAATTTGCATTTAATACGGTTGCATGTAATACCGCAAGTCATTGGAAACCGCAGTACATTTGGAAAACTGCAGTCCATTGGGAAACTGCAGTGAATTTGAAGACTGATATATTTTAAAAACTGTTACATTTTGGAAACTGTTAGATTTGAAAACTGTGTTATCTTTTATACCTTGAGGCCATGGGCGTTCGCAGGGGGGGCAAAGGGGGGCACTTGCCCCCTCCCCCCCCCCCTGGATTTTTCAGCTTGTTCTGCTATTTTTCGTGTGATTGAAAATGAACTGCAATACCGGCGCCTGCCAGTAGGTGGCGCTGTGTATGGAGAGAGACAGGGATAGGAAGCTGCATCTTATCCCTGCTTCTCTCTGCTGATTGAAACCGCAGGGGAGCAACACATGCAGCCAGAGACAGCCTACAGATCAGGTAAGTGGGGGAGGGTTTGAGATAGCCTATAGATTTTTTTGGGGGGGATGCAGCAGCCTATAGATTTGGGAGGGGCAGCAGCCTATAGATTTGGGGGGGCAGCAGCCTATAGGTTTTTGAGGGGGCAGCAGCCTATAGATTTTTGAGGGGCAGCAGCCTATATGGGTGGGGCAGCAGCCTATAGATTTGAGGGTGGCAGCAGCCATAGATTTGAGGGTGGCGGCAGCCCATAGATTTGGGGAGGGGGCAGCAGCTAGATTTGGGGGCAGCAGCCATAGATTTGGGGAGGGGCAGCAGCCTATAGATTTGGGGGCAGCAGCCCATAGATTTGGGGAGGGGCAGCAGCCCATAGATAGGGGAGGGGGGCAAGCAGCTAGATTAGATGAGGTGGGGGGCAGCCTATAGGTGGGAGTGAGGCATGGGGGGGCAGCCTATAGATTAGGGAAGTGAGCATAGGCGTGTGCAGCCTATTGCATTAGGGAGTGCACCCTAAAGCACAAACACACGCCATGTGTGTGTGTGTGTATGTATATATATATATATATATATATATATAAATGATGAGAAGAGCATCAAGAGTGCTCTTCTCATCATTTTTCTGTCTATCCACGCTCTGCAGCACTGAGGCTATTTTTGGTTTACAATTTTAAGGTAGAGTGCCAGACTCTGTATATATTTATATATATATACATATACACATACACACTGGTGTGTGTGTTTGAGGGTGCTGTTTGTGTGCTGTGTGTGAGGGTGCTGTTTGTGAGGGAACTGGTAGTGTTCTGTGTGTGTGTGTGCATGTTTGTTCGGGTCCTGTTAGTGTGCTGTTTGTGTGCGGGTGTTGTGTGTTTGTCAGGGTGCTGTTTGCATGAGAGTGTGCTGTTTGTGTGCGGTGTTGTGTGTGGGTTTTGTGTGTTTGTGAGGATGCTGTTAGTGTTCTGGGTGTGTGCGGGTGTTGTATGTGTGTGGGTGCTGTGTGTGCGAGGGTGATGTATGTGTGTAGGTGCTGTGTGTGTGTGGGGGGGTGCTGTTTGTGGGCTGTGTGTGCTGTATGTTTGGGTGGAGGTGGGGGCAGACTAGTTAATATCCCAGTCCTGCTGCCTTCCCTGGTGGTTCAGTGGAGCGTGAACTCTAGCCCGGGTTCTCTGCTGCCTCCCTCCATGCTGCTGTGGACCGGTGAGGTAGAACTTTGATCTCCCCACCGGCCCATGGAGGCTTAGACCAGAGGAACAGAAATGAACAGGAAGGGTCAGCAAGGAGCTGGAAGGTAAAGCAGCACAAAGGTAAAGTAGAAGGAGCAGAAAGGGTCAGAAATGAGCTGGAAGGGGCAGAAGGAACACAAAGATAAAGTAGGAGAATGAGCAGGAAGGGCCTGCAAGGAGCAGGAAGGGCCTGCAAGGAGCAGAAAGGGACAGCAAGGAGCACAAAGGTAAAGGAGCAGAAAGAATCAGAAGGAGCACAAAGGTAAAGAAGGAGAAAGAGCAGAAAGGGACAGCAAGGAGCACAAAGGTAAAGTAGAAAAGGGAGCAGAAAGGGACAGCAAGGAGCACAAAGGTAAAGTAGAAAAGGGAGCAGAAAGGGACAGCAAGGAGCACAAAGGTAAAGTAGAAAAGGGAGCAGAAAGGGACAGCAAGGAGCACAAAGGTAAAGTAGAAAAGGGAGCAGAAAGTAAAGTAGAAAAGGGAGCAGAAAGTGAAGGAGCAGAAAGGGATCAGAATGAGAAAGGAGCAGAAGGGTGCAAAATAAGCAGAAAGTAGCAGAAAGGTAAAAGAGCAGAAGGGGCCAAGGATAAAAAACAGTGTCAGAAGAAAAAAAGCCTGTCAAATGAAGGAGAGGAAAAGGAGATTGGAGCAGGAAGGACAAATGAAGTGAACCCTCCACTTTATTCTGGACACCACATCATAAGACTTTGGTACCTGGGCCAGGCAGGGAAACGCTGGACCTTCTAATCTCCAAAGGTAAAAAAATATCAGTATTAATGTGTTCACTTTTATTTACTGAGTGTCAGGAAGCACAGAGTGCCGTTGGGTAGGGGTGTTGCTGATTGGCTAGAGTGGTCAGCTGGCACTCTAAGCCAATCAGTAGCTCCCCATTCATAAAAAAGTAAAAATATTTTATGAACCGGAAACTAGCGATTGGCTTAGAGCGTCAACTGTCCATTCTAGCCAATCAGCGGCACCCATGCCTGACGTCAATCTGCACTTCCTGACACTCTGTTTCAGAAGCCAAATACCACTGAGCGACCGGGAGCTGGAGGAAGCCTTTGGGGTTAAACCATTTAATAGAGAGTTAACCCATTAAAGGAAAGCGAGCACCCAGGGGCTTCCTGGCATAGCATTTTCATTTAGGTGAAGTTGTTATGGTGACCAGAATGGTCCTTTAATTTGGTTAAAGGAACACTATAGTGTCAGAAATACAAACATATATTCCTGACACCATAGTTGTGAAAACGCTATTCACCCTGGCTTTATGTGACAATGGCTATGCCCCTTCCCTTTCATGACATTGTCAAAAAGGTACCAAGCATGGATGTCATTACAATTATGCCCCCCCCTGGAAAAATTCCTGCGGACGCCCATGTCCCCAGGTTCTCATAAACGTGCCTAAAGCTATTGGAGTGCCTGGACCTCTTCTCTCTATGAATGGAGATGTAGTAATCTTTGGCTGGATGTAACGAGTGTATATTGTGTGTTAGGAGACACAAGATGGAATGTTAAGTGGGCGGCATGAAACAATAAAGACTGTAGTGCTAAGTTTTGGTTGTTCTACCTTCACCTTACCAGGAAACTTGATAAAGATCCCAAGAAGATTTTGCCATCCTATGTATTGACTTATATTTGATAACTCCAACCGACAGCAAAACATTGGTCCATCTGTTCTTCTAAGTCCTTGGATTCTAACAGAAGCAGTTATTAGTTTCTCTGGGTTTCCCACCATGGATATCCTTCCTGTATATATTTTATTGTCAAACGACTGTGTCTCATTTTCTGGATGGTAGAAAATTACTGTGTTATCCCCACATGGGCTGGATTCTCCACTTCTCCAACGGACTCTGATCTCTGTGGAATTGTCCCAGTCCTTCCAGGGATATCTGAAGTTGCATGGGATGGTGACAGATGCACCTTCTTTAACAAGGATGGATTCTATCTGTGTAGCACAGTGGGGTTTCTCAGTTACTGAGGATTCCACCTGCAGAGAGACAGAGATGTTTTGTCACAGTTTTGTCATCGTTTTACAACCTCTGCTTAAAATGTAAGATTCAAATAACAGTTCTTTTAATTGCTAGTCATAGTTTTCCAGAGCAGAATCTAGGAATCAGTTATGTGGCTTTGACAATAGCACTCAGGAAAGTTAATTTAAAATTATACTGGGATGGCAGCATGGTACTCCAGTCACCATAACCACTACATTTAGCTGTAGTTGTTATGGTGCTAATGGTGGTTCCTTTCCCTTTGGAATGCAAGTGTTCTAAAGAACCAGAACGAGTAGAAATGACTTCACAAGTACAAATAGGTACAGAGCTCGCAGTCTCATCATTATCCAGGGGTGCCCACTTTTTGAACACATCTGTCCTACACCAATGGAGAAAACAGTGCTCGGTGATACACCATTATACAGAAAAAACTTTAAATTGTAAAGCATAACTAAGAAATTGATAAAAACATACTTGAACACTGAAAACCTGTAACAGTTAATAAAAGACCTAATAAAAGCAACCCTGTGACCAAAATAAATAAGAAAACAAAGCAATTATAGGAACACTAAAGTCATCAAGACCCTTTAATCTCAATAAAGTGGTTTGGGTGCAACAGCCGTGTCCTTTGAAACCTATATTGTATAACAATCCTGTTTTTAAAAACTGCTAATTTCCATTGCAGGATTATATCCCCCTGCGGTGGTTTTCCTCCTGTCAGCCAATAGAGACGCTTATGCTGCCCTGAGTGAGTAAATGTCAGTGATGTAGAACTCATAGGAAAGCATATACTACAATATTTTCCTTTGGGAAATACTTTGCCTCCTCAATGACGTAACAGGAGGTGGAGATGTGAGCGCCCTCTCTGCTGGGTAAAGTTAAATAAAACATTTATTTTATTAAATATTTTCGCAAATGGGGGGACTAGTAGAGATAGGAAAAAGGACATTACAACACAGGTTTCCTTTAAATCAAATCCCACATCATTCAGAAAAACATCAAAAATACAAAAAGTGGAAAATATACATTAATTCTAGCTCATCCAGAAAAATAAGACAACTCTTTTAAGAAGGGTACACAGCAACTTAGTGATTTTGGGTGAAGAATAGGTCCTTCTTAGTCTCATCTAGTTCAGTATCTTACACCATCGTTTACGCTGATGAGCCAAAAGAAAGGGATTGAGTTAAATGCCAGTTTTCCAACAAAAACAAAAAGCTCAATAAAGATTGAGATAAATGCCAGTTTTCCAACAAAAAACAAAAGCTCTTCTTGACTATACAATGACAATCAAATGTATCCCTGAATCAACACACTGTCCTCATGCACATTAATTAATAGACAATTATAAACTGCTTCTTGGTCAAGGTGGCCTTTATCAGCTTCTGACACATGCTGCATGTGCTTCGGGATCTATAAAGGCACATCAGATGTTTCCCACTTTTTGCTTCTATTACTATCTACTATAAGAGATCATTATCTGGGAGGTGATCTATAGGAATCTGATTTTCACTTTTAAGGATACGTATTAGTTTTATCTAATTGTATATACTGTTTTTGGTGTAGGGTTTGTTGTGAAACATCCTTTTTAGGCAGACTATTCACAAAGAAGAGAGTAATAATAGCAAACACAAACTATAAAGTTAATATAAATCACAATACATCACAACAATGACATATATTACATTGTGAATCAAGAGGAATATACAAAAGAACAACAATGAGATGGGAAAAATACTAGTAGACTTCTCTCCATTTCCTTCAAGTTTTCCATACAGAAGTTAGTTTCTCAAGGGCAGATTCCAAGCCCAATACATAGCTTCTAGAGTTGTATTGTGGGTCATTTTTTTCTGGCAAAAATGGTACAGTAGACCATTTTCTGTATTTGTTAACAAAAATAAACAACAATCTCCACAACTAAAAGCAATAAAAAAAAATAACAAATACCAATACCTTCATGCACCCCCACAATGTGCACAGCACTGCAAACCAAATAAGGTTTAAGTTAAAAAAACAACACTATAGTGGCAGGAATACAAACATCAGCAACATCTCCGTTGAGATTAAAGGCTTAAACTTAACTTTCTCCTACACCATGATGGCCTCGTCGTGGTTGGTGCTGCCTGGTCCCACCTCCATGGCTGAGATCATCAACCTTGGAGTGGAGGCTATTGTGCTGTATAACAGACAATTATTTGTAACCATAAGTTGGACACACAGGAACAGAGGGGTTGAGCTTACATGCTAGACGGAGTGGGTAAAGTGACACAAAAGTGACACAAAATGTAAAGGGTAGAAAGTAGTTTGTTTTTCTACCCCAGTTAGGACTAGAGACTGGGTGAAATTCTAAAAGAGCAAAATGCCACTTTGCACCAAACAGCATTGCCTCATAGAGATGCATCTCTATGGGGACATTTAAAGCATCCATGCAGAGGGTGGATATGCTGAATGTCAGTGCTGTACATTGTGTAGCACTAAGATAGGAAGCACCTCTAGTGGCCATCTGAGATGCTCCTGGGCAATAATGTAAATACTGCCTTTTCTCTCTAACAAAACAGGGACATGCTATAGACACCAGGCACATACGGCTATAGTGGTACTGGTGACTATAGGGTTTCCGTTAAGGGAATCCATTGAATTTGAGTTACCAACACTAACACCAGTGATTACAATGGCATAGCCAACAAAACACGTCTGAAAGCAAAAACAATCTAAGCCACAAAGTGGCCAGAAACAAAAAGAAAGCCTGTATTTTCCTAGCTTTATATCATCTTTAAACACAGACACATGATTTTCAGTTGCCCATTTGCAGGTCACTAAGAAACATATTATATATAAATTGTATATTGTATTTATTTAATATTGTATCTTATTGTAATAATGCAATGTTTTGTTGGCAAAGACCCAGGACATACTTGAAAACAATAGAAATCTCAAAGTATCCATCCTGGTAAAATATTTTATAATTAAATAAATATTAAAAAAAGAGACTTGAATGCCACATTCCAAATTGATGTTCAAAATTCCTGAATATTAATCCTTAATACTTTCTTGTGTATAAAGTATAAAGTGAATTCCAGAAATGTATTTCTTAAACTGTGTACTTTGTCTGTAAGATATATTACAAACTGACAAGGTGTTAGAAATGGAACATATTGTTTTTCATAGATGTTTCTTTAAGCAATAACTCCAGTGCATAATATGTTTGCGCCATTTTGTCCCAGACGAATTACAATAACAATAATGCATAAACAAGCTTCAAGGCTATCCTATGACTCTTTCAGTACACAATATACTGTGGTAATCTTAGTAGATAAGGATGTCCAGACTTTAAGATGCCATCT